TAGGCTGCATTTGTTGAGCCATTTCAATTTAAGTTAAATGGTTCTGCCAGTTTTATGTTTGATTTATTCATTTTTTGCGTCCTTCACATAATTTTTATAGAAAGGACCTGAGTTTGTTTGGGAGCAAAGCAAAGTCCATTTGGAGGTCAAACGAAGCAAGCAGCAACCCGAAAATACAGACTGTTTACTGAGTGCGGATATGGTGACTAAGGGGGTGCTTAGTCACTTGATTAAGCCTCTCCTAACCATTAGATCTGGACACTTCAATCCAATGGTTAAAAAGTGGGAAGGGCTATTTAATTAATGGCAGGGATAGTTTGGGTATTATGAAAAATTACGAAGTATACAAACCGAATTTACAATCAGTACAAATCATACAAACATACGAACAATACAAATTAGAGCGACAAAACATACAAACAGATTTACAAACATTACAAATGTATGAACTGTACAAACAATACAAACTAGACCGACAAACAATACAAACCATACAAAAAGAAAAAACAACCGGGTTGACTTTTGAGGCTCCATCCCTATATAGAGGGGCTCCTTCCCAAAGTCAACCCGGGTGTTTTTTAGACATACAAACAGTACGAACATGGTGAACAAAAATGACAAACTAGACCGACAATCCATACGAACTGAAAAAACACTCGGGTTGACTTTGGAGGCTCCATCCCTATATAGAGAAGTTCCATCCAAAAGTCAACCAGGTTGTTTTTTAGACATAAAAAACATTACAAACATGGTTGACAAAAATGATAAACATGGTGCACAAAAATAACAAAGTTTACAAACATTACAAAAAAAACCGACAAACATTACAAAATAACAAAGCGTACAAACATTACTAAATAAACCGAAAAACAGTACAAAGCATACTAACCGTACAAAATGTCACTAAAAAAGACAAACAATACAAACCGAATCTATACAAACATTACAAAATAAGTCAGTAAACATCACAAACTCAACACTGTCGCCGGGAAATTTCCTCCGGTCCCCGGAAAACTCTCTCTCTATCTCTCTCTCTCGTGGGACAATTCATTCCCATGTCTTCCGCCCCAAAATAAATGGACAGCACTATTAATATAAATAGACAGCAATCTCTCTCTCTCAGGGAATATGGGGGAATAATTCTTGAAATAATGGTGCATGAGAGCTGGGGAACTCTCCTGCCCAGTAATTGGAGTTTTTTCCAATAATAGCACCCTAAATAAATTTACAAAACTAGCACACATATGAAAAAATTGACAGAAATAGCACCTATTTTTATGGAACGCACCTCCATGATGCGTTTTATAAGTAAACCGCACTTGAAGGATGCGTTTTACTTATAAAACGCATCATGGAGGTGCGGTCTCCGTGAGGAAACGCACGCCAGCGAAGCGATCTGCGCCAGCTGCGGAACGGTCTTCAAAACCGTTGGATGGAGCGGCGATCGGGCGGCTGAACGCTTGCCAGCGGAGCGATCCGCGCCAAGGACTGCAGATCGCACGCCCGAGATGCGGTCAGCCCTAGGGAAGCGCAAAACGCGTTGGGAGGGAGCGGTTTTGCTTAGGGCAAAATTACCAGACCGCCCCTGGGGGGTGCGGTCTGATGGGTATAAATACCCCCCCTCCCCCTCTCATTTCTTCACACCACAACCCATTCTTCCTTCTCTCTCTACAATTTATCTCTCTAAACCCTCCCCTCCCAAAAGCCTAGGAAATAGTGGTCTGTTGGTTGCGGCTAAGTCCGATCTGCCATCAGAAAAAATTTCTTAGGTTTTTTCCTCAAAACCCTCCGAGTCGAGCCGAAGCTCTGTCCGAATTACGCCGAAAAAATGGCCGATTGGTGGCAAGGAGAAGGAGTTTATGTTGATGAATTTCAAGCGGTATGTACTCATTATTCTGGTTTAATTTTTGTTGTTGTTATAAGTTTTTTAATTAATCTATGTACTAACCTCGTTGTTATTTTCTCGTAGGTTGGGGAGGACGTCGATATATACAACCAACGGTATTATCTCGAGCAAGGACCGGTGGATCCAACCGACTTGTACGACCAACCCAACCATCGGTCAAGGGATGTTTGGAACGATCACCCGGTACATACAATTCTTCACCATTTGTCCTTCTTTTATTTTGTTAATGTGCCTAGTGTAATATAAAATAAATTTATGTTTATTTTTTAATCGTGTTGGTTGTTTTCAATAATTTAATCGAATACATAGCGCCACTTACTTCGACTCTTTATAAAGAGATGCACGTCTAAGGAAATGGGGTTTTAAGCGATTATCATATCCTCCCATTACCTGGGAAAATCGGGTATTAAGAGATCCTCGGATCCCCCCTTTTTCTGTCAAAAAGACTGCGTTTCTAAGAAGATGTATACCTCTTCTAAGAGTCTAACGAGTGTTGCTTTGTATTCGATTAAATTATTTAAAACAACTAATACGATTAAAAATGATGAAAACCGCACCTCTAGGGTGCGGTTTTAGTCTGCCATGCAGACCTACGTCAATAATTTTCTGCATGGCTGTGTCGTTGTGTCGGAAAATTATTGACACGTAGACCGCACTTGGGGGGTGCGGTCTACATGCCCAAACCGCACCTTAGCAATGCGGTTTGTTCTTGGAGGAATAAACCGCATCACTAAGCTGCGGTTTAGGTAGGTCAGGCCTAAACCGCACCTCGGCCATGCGTTTTATGTAGGCCAGACATGAAAACGCATGGCCAAGGTGCGTTTTAGGCCCACCAGAGTAGAACGCTCCCTCCAGGTGCGGTTTACATATAAAACGCATCTGGAGGATGCGGTTTACATATAAAACGCATCTGGAGGATGCAGTTTATTTGTAAAACGCACCACAAGGGTGCGGTCAATAAAAAAAGGTGCTAGTTTTGTAAATATTTTTGGGAGGGTGCTAGTTTTGTAATTTTTTTTAAAGGTGCTATTTCTGGAAAAAACTCCAGTAATTGCCCAGGGGAGCCACCGCCGAACAACCGGACGAATACGGGAGGCGGCGGGACTGTTTAATTTTTTTTATTCATTTTATAATTAAATATAGGCAAAATACACTTGCATAGCCATGATTTTACACTTTGTGACAATAATAGCCAAAATTTGAAAAATACACTAAAATAGCCATTCCGTCTATAACTTTAACAAAATATCAAGGATGCTGACTAGACTAACGTTTATGGGTGATGTGGGATTTTTTCATGAAAAAATACAAAAGTGACTATTTCCTTATTATAATTAAATGAAAAAACAAATAAATAAAACAAACATATATCTTCCTTGCATAACCCTCCCCATCCCCTGTTTTCCCTTTCTCGTTTCTTCCTCCGCCATCGTTGTCGGCGAGTGCGAACTCGAAGGAGGATGAGGAATGGAGCGGAGCGGCAACAAGGATTTGATTCTCTCGCCCACTGCTCTTGCCTGCTAACCTCAGTATCATTTTCCCTCAAGTCTCGATCTGCCATTCAACCAAAGAAAGGTATTTGTGTGTGAGGGAAAATGTTAATTGAGTGGAGAAAAGGTGAAAGCTAGAGAGAGAGAAAGAAGATCGGTGGTCGAATCGGAGTGGATTTTGTTTCGTATTTGTGTGTCCCAGATCCATTCCAAACTACCGCCTCTTATCATCAGCGACGAATGGGAGGGAATCTTATTTCGATTCGAACTCGCGAAACCCAGAAAAAAGTTTTTGATTTAGGGTTTTGTTTCAATTGATTCCACCTTCCATTCATTTTAGGAAACCATATTTGTGCATGACGGAACAGCAGCAGCGCTCAATCGCGGACTTCCGCCTTGAATTATTCCGGATCGACAAACTGAAGAACCTTAATCGCCATCGTCGACGGGTTCGAGTCTCTGTTTCTCTCCATTGATTTAATTGGTAAGAAACTGTGGAGGAGAGATCAGGGAGGCAAAGGCAATTGTTGCCGGTGGCGTCGGTGGGAGAGGAAGAAAATGATGAGATGGGTTATATTTGTCGGCGGTGGCTAGGGTGAAGGAGATCTATCGATTTCTCTAAACCCTAGATGAACATGGTTGGTTCCAGGCTCCAGCGGTGGCAAGGGGAAAAAATAATATTTTTAAAGATTTTTTTATTAAAATATTATGTGGCATCTAGGTGGTATGGTTTGTCTAGTTGGAGCTGACATGTAATCTGAGGTGGCATCCACATCAGCACAACTTTCATGTTACTGACGGAACTTCTAACGGTGTTAAAGTTTTTAACGAAAATGGCTAAATTTGTCAAACTAGTTTCAAAATTGTGGCTATATTTGTGCATTTTTCAAAATTTGGCTATTATTGTCACAAATGGAATATTTATGGCTATGGAGATGTATTTTGCCTTAAATATAAAAAATAAACATGCAATTACTACATTGCCCTCCATTAAATTGGATTAATAGGAGCCCTTGGATTTTAATGAAGTTGAGTGGCTGAGATTCACTTAGCCATGTGACTAAGGGGACCCCCTTAGTCACCTGATCCCAACCCCTGTTTACTGCTTGTGTTTCTTGGAGCAGGATTTTGAAAGCAGAAAACAGGGTGATTTCCATCCAGCAGTTCTCCGCCAAAGAAGACAAGCTAAAGGATCAAAGGAGTCTTGGTTCTGTTAGATAATAGTAGACTATCTAGTATCACCAGCCAGACTCCTTAGGATTAAACTTTACGCCACGTATATGGCTAAGATGATAGGGTACAGACAGTGACCTGAAGTTTGTTGCAGTAGGCAAGAATATGTGTTTCTCCTAATTTAAATCATGGTTGGCTTGGTTGTTATTGTTTTAGGGTGTTGAAATCTCTAAACAAGCTCCGAATGGATCGACTCTTTTCATACCTCTAAATCCGAATTAACTAGGTTATTCTCGGTTTACATGAACCAAAGCTCAAATGACTTGCTTGGTCAAATCAACGATTGGAATCGATTCGAAAACATTGATGAATTACAAAAGCAAACAAAATTGTAATAGCAGAAAAGAACGTAAATGTACAAGCATAAGTAATCACCAATTATCGAGGGATGGAGATCTTGCTTCACTGCTGCCCTGAGCCCAAAAACTGTAGCTTCCATTGTACATGCCTCGCAACTCCGTGTATCTTGGAATTGGTGTCGGCCAGCAAGAGAACCTAGGCTCAAACACCTTAGCATAAGAATGGCTGCCATCCACCTCTTCCACTTGAGCGTATAACTCCAACTCTTCCCTTCTCAAATCGCAGGACCATAAAGTACTCCCACAAGCACCACACTGGAAGAAGACAATCTCTGGTTTATGTGGATGCAGAAAAGGTCGAAAGGATTCCTCCGTAGCTTCATAGCTACAGCACCTTGGGTTCTTCACCAACCCTTCATATTGTTTCCTCCGAGATTTACGGTCTTCTTCTAGTCTCCAAACGATTACACGACGAGGATCAATATTGGTTTGGTTTGAAATTACATGAAGAGCACCTTGTGAACTCGAAATTGCCCACATATCTTCTGACTCGAATGTAGAAGTATCAATGCAAGCGGGAGGTATATCAAGGCGGAAAGGATTGAACCCAGCCACCAATTTCACAGGGTTGGCCGCAGTTTCTCGACAGACTTTTGCGTGCATCCAGAAAAACTCCCCACTGCACACACTTACACATTTAGCTCCGATTCTCACGTATTTGTCAAGAACAAGAGCATCTTTTATCCATTCTCCAGACTCCGAACAAAACACGTCGAGATTTAGACACAACGGCTCCACATCTTGATATATACACACCACCCGGCAGCGATACTCGGAATAAATAATCGACTGGTCATCTCCTAGATCAAGTTTATTAGAAATAACGGGTTCACAAACTAACCTTGTCACCGGTGATAAATACCCATCTAGCTTCCTGGGGGCCAAAGGAAGAGCGACCCACTGCTTGGTAAACGGATTGCAGATCAAGTAAGACCTGCTATGTTCCCCATTGTCCTGATTTACATCCCAAAACCCGCATAAAACCAAGTCCTTGTAGCAATCCAAGACTTTCAGACTGCCTCCAACTCTACTGGGCATGGGAGGCAGAAGGCTGAGGATGGCAGATTGCAGCTCCTTGGGGTGCAGCTTCACGTTCTGATGGTGAGAAATCATACGGCGATTGAAGCAGGGACTCAAAATCAGGGAGCTCCAGCGCTTACATACGGCTTTGCAGCGAAAGGCAGATTTGGGATCGGGGAAGCTGCGAACTAGAATCTCTACGAGGAGATCGTCTCCGAGCTTGCCGATCATCGTGGTGGGAGGAGGGTTTGTTGCTATTGAACCGATTCGTGGCTGTTTTCTGCAACGGCCAAGGAGTAAGCGCGCCGGGAGATCAAAATCCGAAGTGCAGCTGGTGTCGGTCGCCATTGCTAGACGGACGGGATTGAAGGAAGATAATCCAGGCGTTAGGGATTTCGACGGACAAGCCCAGAGAGATCAAAATACGGATCCCAATTGCTTTGATCCTTTGCTCTATAGTTATATTCTTGCCGCGGTTGGCTGCTGCAGCTTTGCTTCCTCGGATTAGGATTAGGATTAGGATTAGGATTAGGATTAGGACTCATTGGTTTGTTGGGCTCGAAGTTTCAGGGCCCTCGGAGGCCCATTGGGAATAATGGCAACTATCCTCTTCATGGATGGGTTGGTCCACCTTTCACGTTTACATGGTGTTCGGCCCATTTTGTAGGGATTATGATCTATGATTTGTTGCGCTTTACACAGAGATGACCATACATGGCCGGTGGATTTTTCTGCGCCATTTCAGATCTTCTTATTATTTAGTTGGTTCATGATAAGTGTTCGATCCACTTGATAGTAATAGTGTTTGTTTTATAATGGCACATTTTATATACCTTAAATTACAATACTCATTAATGAATTAATATTATGTAAAAAGGCTATCACCAATTGTTTTAAGTAATGAATTATCTTCTATAAATGCGACTACATTTAAAATTGAATCTCGAAATAAGATCATATTTACTTCTCTTGCTAATTTATTCCATTTAATTAGTTCATACCCGACTTGAAAAAATACATTAAGAATCACTTACCAAGTAATATCTTGATGTCATTATCTTCGTCTGCTCCCATAAGCTCTGGTAATCTAATGCTTAAATTGGGCAGGAACATTCTTCTTCTTCCAATGTTTAATCACTTGGTCACTTAGAAACCATGAAATTAAACCTATCTATCATTAATTAAAAAAGGCTAATTTCACTAGACAACGCCAACTATCATAAAATTGTTAGTTTTGTTCTACAATATTCAGTATGACAATCTTAGCATGAGATATAAAACTTTTGTGACATTTATATTATGATATTTGTTGACTGTTAAGATAACCGTTAACCATACGATGGTCAAAGCAATATTAACTTTTGTTGACGTGACAAAAATAAGTGCCACATAAACGCCGCATCATTGACACATACTCGTGCCTTCCTACTAGTTGACGTCTCCTGGACCTCCGTGATTCTCGACCCTCTAAAACACTCAATCCATCGTTTTGCCCTGTCGTAGTGTCGTTTGATTGATGTAGCCACTACAGAGATTCATCTTCTCCTTCTCCAAAAGAAATCCAGGTCGACCCAATCAATTTCTCCACTACAGTTCCAATTGATTTCTCCAAACTAGCAATTTCGAAATCAGCTTTCCATTCGTCCCTTCGATTTCTCTCCTCTCGTCCCTTCAAATCCACAAAGATCCACAGCTTAATCAATGGATGCACAAAAACAAGCAACTTTTGTAGGCCGTTGTCATCTTCAAAAGAATATCGCGTTGATGACGATCGAATTGTCAGAGACTTTGTGCCGAGGATTCGTCAATTTGGGTCTGTGTAGTGATTCTTCTCCAGTCATTGAAGCGCTGGGAATGGCCATTCGACCTGGAGAAATCGAAGAGACAGGCTGAAGAGACGGTGGAATTGTGGGAGGGGTGTGAGGACGGGATAATGGAGAGAGAGAAAATAGTTCTATTTTTTATTTACATATAAAAAATATTATTTTTAAACCAATTTAGTTGAAAAAATCAATTAAAATTTCAATGTCATATTTTCTGTTAAATACTAACGGTCAATACTAAAAGAAAAATAGTATGTGGAAGAACTAACATATTGAATATTTTAAAACATAAATTACATTTTTGTGATAGTTAGAGTGTTTTAGTGAAATTATCCCTTAAAAAATGAAAGATTAACATTGCTAATTTTTACATACTCAAAGGAACAATCAAGATTCAAGACCCAACTACTGGTGGATCGATACATGGGTTAATTAATTCTATACTCAAATTTCCTTGCATTTATCATCAATTCAGACTCGGCTAAATTATTCACAAGGAAAAGATCTCTTGTCATGTTAGGTGACAAAACCTAATGTTAGTTTATTCACATATTTTTGCTGAAGTAGTTTTGCTTATTTTAAATTGGCTCAAACTGACTATCTTGTCTCATACGATCAAAATCTCAATTTTGGTATGATTTTACGATTTAACGATTTTAATCCTGATTTTAAGCGATTTTAAGGTCCATTGATTTTATAGTAAAATCAGGATCAGAATTCCAAACTAAAATCCTACGATTTTACGATCAAAATTGCGATTTTGACTGCATTGCTCCCCAGTGAACGGCGACGAGGCGAAATGGATGGACAGGAACTCAAAGATCCGCGCGAAGCTAGTGGAGTGTCGCGTCGACAGCGACCTACAACCGAAGGCCGAGGAAGCGGCAGGGCATCAGAGGAAGCGATCGGAGCAGCGAGTTGAAAGAGGAGAGCAGTTGGGGGGGGGGGGTCGGCCGTCGGGAAACCGCCACGTCAGAATCCCCAAGCGGACGACAGCGCGACGATCGATGATGGACCAGGAGGTGAAAGGCCTAACGAATCCAACAACTGAACACAGAGCACCATAACCTATCACTTGGTGTCAAACACACAACATAACTATCAAATGAAAATCCAGAGATGGGCATGCTTTATTTGGATTGGATAACACAAAACAAAGACCTATTTTGGTATTTAAGCCTATGAGGAGTTTGGCAGAGCAGAAGTTGTTGGAAATTTGGTTGAACCAGACTAACCAAGTAAAACCAGGTTTGGGTTGGACCGACCAACCGGTTTGGGATTAGATCGACCGAATCGATGTTCTAATTCCATGAAGGGACACATCCCTTTGTCATGGTGGCGGTTGCATTATTTTATGGATAAGGATAAACTTTTATATGGATAGAGGCAACCTTTCAAATGGATAAAGGCAACATTTCGTATGGATAAATGAAACATTTCGTATGGATAAAGGCAACATTTCGTATGGATAAAGGCAACCTTTCATGAAACAATGCATGGATTCGGCCCCTATAAATATGTGTGGGGAGGATGATACCACACACCATCAAACATATTCTTCATCTTTCTTCCAAAACTTTCTAAGTATGCTTTAGTGTTCTTGAGCCTAGAACCTAAAGTGGTGATAGTTTTATCCTCGGGAGAAATTTCCTGTAACCCAAGGCTTTGTAGAGGGTGGAAATATTTTTTTACGGAAAGTGAACGTAGTTCACGACTCTATCACAATCCTGGTCACCCGGTCTCGGGCTATCGTACGTGTACCCTCGGTTCCGATCTATGGAATTATGAGAATGTTCGATGATGAGTTTTCATCTATGGCAGTAGAAGATGAGTTTTCTTCGTACTAGTCTCATGGTGCGTTCCATATCCAGAAGGTAACTTTGAAGATGGATGATTCAAAGATGAGGAAGAAGGATAATGCTTCGTCAAATGGAGAAATAGAAGAATGAAAATTGCCTTTGGGTAGGTCACATACTCAATGGTTAATTTGTCTAATTCTCTATTCAACATTTATGAAGTCCTAGACAAATTTGGATTTTTATCTAGTGGTTTGATGGTGTGATTTTGTCTAAGTGGTTTATGTTAAACCAAAGTGACAAAATGTATTTACGATTTATATTGATTCTGGTAATAGAGTCATCATACATTTGTATGTATATGGCATGCTTATCTTTGGGACCAATAAAAGATAAGTGAACTTTGATCAAAAGTTGTTATTTAAATTCTCCATGTAGGACATGGGGGAGGAAAATGTGATTCTGTGTATTGAATCAAGCGGAACGACAAAGAAGATTCCTTCTCTCAATTTTTCTGCATTGAGAAGGTACTTGCAAAAATTCCATAGTAAGAATTGTCGTGAGTTAAAGACCCCAATGGATCCAAGTATGGAACTTATGGTTAATATGGAAACCAGTTTTGCAACTGGAGTATTTCATGTCCAATTGGGTATGTATGCATGACTTGCATAAAACCATATATCGCGTTGCGGTATGACCATTAAGTTGGTGTTTGAGTAATCCTAGTGCTCATCATTTGGCATGAAATGAGGCGTGTACTATGATATCTCAAAGGCACATTGTATTGACTTATAGTGGGTTTCCATCCATTTTGGAAGTATTTATTGATATTAGTTTGATTTCTCATGTTAAGGGCGATACTTCAACATCGAGATGAGTCCTCTTGCTTGGGGGAAGAGTCATATCTTGCGCCTCTAGAAAGCAAACTTGTATCACTAGTTCCAGTATGAAGTCAAAGTTTGTGCCCTTGATTTCTCTTAGAAAATAGGCATTATGGTAGAGATGCTTGGTTTATAACATTTATTTATAGCCAAAACCAATCTCACCTATTACTATTCTTAGTGATAGTAATGCTAATTTGGCTAAGGCAGATTGCCAAGTGCAAATGGCAAGTATGGTCATGTGGGAGTTAGCACTGTAAAATCTACGAATTGATCACTCATAGATTTGTGTATATACAAATATGACCGGACTGGAGATAATTTAGTTGATCATTTGACGAAATGATGAACTAGTGACTTGGTAGTCAAGTTTGTGAAAGGGATGAGTTTAAAATCCATATAATTTCTTGTCATGGGATACCCAATTCCCCTCTAATACAACGTTAGAGACTGAATTCAATGTGGAAAGTTCATTATCAGAAATTGAAGCACACAATTTGTCATCCCGAGGTATGTGCTTGTTATCCTGCATGAGAGAAGAGGATGAAGTTCAAAACTTCTTAATTGAATCTTTGAAAAAGTCTATTGTGCGGGTACACGAATAAGAGATTCAACCTACGTAAACATGAAGTGTAGCCGCTTCAAGAAACCCGGACTTTGGTTTCGTGTGCGCTTATGAGAAGGATTGGACACATGGGGGTTAATAGTGTCAAGGCACTTAGAAGTTTGTAAGACTTAAGTGTATATTATCTTCGAATATTCATCTGAGTAGATGGGGGAGGAATGTTGTAATTTTAGTGCATTCTATGAGTACACTAAAATGGGGGAGGAATGTTGGGAATTTGGTT